AGGTGCTAAACCTTTCCAGATGACATGTTTCCACTTTGCTGCCAAACGATTTTAATGACCTTTTCAGGACACAGTATGCACCATGTAACAAAATGATTTATCTGTCTCTACGTATGAGTTGTGGCATACTGAGGTCAGTGTTATTTTGCCTAAAAATACAGTATTTCTCACAGGACTGTCATGCTTGATACTGCTGTGACCTCTGTTAGTCCCACAGAGAGGTTATTACAGGGACTCTGTACGCAGGTTAGCAACAACAGACTTGTATAGCGACTACAGCTCCCTAGGTCTGTGTACTGCACTAAATGGCTATCCTGAGACACAGGAGCTGAGAAAGGAGGAATTTGGTTCACATGGATCTTCACACCAAGTCGTCACTTCCAGGGGCTTTCAGCTGTCCAGATTCTTCTCTGAATTGGTTATCCTGAGTCAGCATTTTTGTGTGACCTGATGTTTTTAGTGGAGAGCTGAGCTTGTAAAGGTCAGTGTCGACAGCAGACACTTCTGCCATTTTACTGCCAAAGTAATTTCACTATGGTACAGTTCTTCCCAAGGCAAGGTGGGGCGTGACAGTTCTTGGCTGAAACACTCTACCTCCCAATCCAGAGTAGCCTGCTTCATGCATCAGAAAAACACAGGAAGCCAAACACCTCCATCTGATCCACTTTCTAATCTTTTACAGGTATAAACCTTCAGTGTTAAGCTTGGTGCTGCTGGTATTTGGTCCTGTGGTCTGGCCTTGCACACAGGCGCAGTAGGCAGCCTCTTCACTAGCAGCATGAAACAGTCCTCCTTAGACCTGACCAAAGGCCAGGAAAGGTAATGGAGGTATTTCCAGTCAACCCCAGTGGGCTGTGGGTCCAGTAAAAAGCTGTGGTTTCTGTGTCACTGTTAAAAGTTAGCACATAAAGAGAGAGCCAGTGCTGCTGCTGCTGCTGCGTGGGAAGTGAGAGACAATACAGTTCTTAGTTGTTGCAAAGTGAAGCTGCAGACTGCCTGCACAGCTTTGAGGTGTTTAACTTCACTTGCAAGAACGAGTTGTTTAGCAGCTTGCTAGTTTGGTCACTAACTGGCAGAATATACTTGTGACTCTGCAGTTAATCATGGTTGCTGATTGGAGTAATTTAATCAAGGAACTGATTGGGGCAATTTGGAATAGGCCCCACTGGTGAATGTCAGTAGTTAAGATTGATTGCCCAGTGGAGACAATAGCTAGTAAAAGATAGGCTAGAGGGTAGGCAGTAAATAACTCCCATGTTGTCTGGCATGGGACACTCTAGCCTTGTTCACCCCTCAAGTTCTCAGGGTGGTGAGAACCCCACAGTCTCAAAATATTCATAGCCAGGTTAAGCAGCGAGGTAAGGAAGCTTGCTGCTGGTGCTGCATTATTCAGATCATTGAGGAAACGGCAGACTAAAGAACTCTGGGAGGCCATTGTGAGGCTGAGGTTCAGTGCTCACTGGTGGTCAGATAGGTAAATCAAGCATTAGGAATGATCAGGAAAAGCATAGATGATAAAACAGCAAACACTGTCATACCATGGCACAAGTCAATGGTTTTCTCTCACCTCTGTCGTTCTGGTCCTCTCATTTCAAAGAGGATAGAGTAAAGGAAAAGGATCAAGGAGGAGCAACAATGATAAGCAAAGGTAAGGAATGACTTTGACTTGAAGAATGACTGCAGAGATTACAAGCCTGTAGGCCGGAAAAGAGGCAACTTGTCAGGAATATGGTGCAGATCTCTAAGCTCAGGAGTGGCATGGAGAGGTGTGGTTAGGGGTCAGCCATAAAGTGTCTCTTCCAACACAGCACTGTTACACTAAGCTAATAGCAGCCAGGTTCAGAGGTGGTTCCACTAGAAGATGTGGATGCCAGAACTCACTCTGGCTCAATAAAAAGCTGAAATACCTGGAGAAGTCCATTGGAGAACCTAAACACGGAGAAACCCTGTCTGGCTCAGGACATCCCCTAACCTGAAAACAGATGCAGACAGAGAGAGTACAGAGAAGGAAGTATCATATATGCTTGTCTTGTTATTTCTTCTCCTTCAGTATCCATTTGTGGCCACTGTCAAACTCCAGATACTGGGTACAGGGACCTTTGATCTGCCACGTTGTGGGTGTTCTTATGAAACTGGTATTTCTGTAGGGTGCCCCAGAGGAGAGGTCCGTGGCAGCCTTTCTGAGCTCCCCATCAGCAGATGCCCATGGCAGGACTGTGTCTGTGCAGCACTGTTACCTAGCTTGCTCTGTGCCATGTCTTCCTCTGCCTTGTTTATACACGGTATACTTTATTCCAGATGTTTGTATGAATTATCTGTTAAATTATAGAAGTTTTGCCTTTTCTTTCCTTGTAATAAAAAGCTGTTGGTAGGTGTAGTGTTTGAGTGGAGATACATGGACCCATTGGACTTCCTTGTCATGAAAAAGAATCCTTGCATTTTCCGTTTCTTAAAGCTTTGGGTGCCATCTGCTGGGCTCAGTAGGACCTTACACACTGGAGCAAAATTATTAATTGCTGGTTGAAAAGTACTTGAAGAACTGAATTAACCCAGGGTTGCAATGTCTTTGCTTGTAACTCTTGGTTCTTTTGGCTCTGTTGGCCATAATGGAACCTAGATGCATGGGATCTACTCTGTCAAACAGACAAGTGTCTGTGTACAGTTCCCATTTAAAGATACCATTCAGACTGAATTCTTTAATGGTTTTCACTGTGTCTGGTCGCATAATGGAGAAACAGTGGAAGGAAATAAGGATTGTCAGGCATTGTGCCCTGGCCATGTATTGCAGTAGCAGAGCCCACTCTGAGCAGCACTCAGGCTGCTGGAGACGGGGACAGGCGGACACTGGGGAGCTGGAGAAAGCAATTTGTCCAGGAGCCCTGGTTACTTGCCTCTGTTTGATATGTGGCATAGGGGTATAGCAGCAAGATACACTGAACTGTGTGAAGGGGTAGTGTGTGAGTGCACCACATGGGTGAGGCATAGCTCCATGGGATGAGCATGGTTCCTGCTCTGCAGTTAAGGCACCTGGTGGCAGTGAACTGGCATCTCTGGGCTTGCAATGTGCGATGTCCCTAGCTCTCACCTTGGGAGTGCCCAAGAGCAAAGTAAGAGGTTAAGGCAGCCATGGGCTGAAGCAGACTTTGCATGTTCATTGTCCGGGGCAGATGTGCCAGCTATGTGTTTGCAGAAAAGTTGGTGACAGTGTGATCTGTGTGAGCAGCACAGGGAGCTGTAACACAGTGACCCACAGCACTGCCGTGGGGCACATCTGACACTCTGAGACCCCTTAATATGCCTTTGGTTTTTATTTCTCACAGTTATCTCGTTGGTGTGTTCACTCTTGCTCTGTAATTTGATGATACAGGACTTTGGTAGCTATACTGACTTGTGCAGTCCCGTCCTCTCATCCATCCCCTTCCTACTTGTTCTCTCCCCAAGCCACAGTGCCCCTTATCCCCATGCTGTGTGTGAGGCCATGCTGTGTACTGCTGAGTTAAAAAAACCCAAACAAACCAAAACTACAGCATGATGAAACGGGTTATATTGAACTCAGACCAATTCCTTTTCTTTTTTTGTATCACAGCATGGCCTCATGAACAGTTGGGTCAGCACAAGCAAGGGAAGCCTGGTGCCTGCAGTGCTGAAGGGGGAGCAAGCGCTGAAGGGTGGCTGAGGAGTGAGACCTCTGTGTTCAGCACTGCTGTGGCCAGGGCTTGGCCTCTGCACTGGGAATGCCCCAGCCACTGGTAGGCAGGCACCTGCGAGGAGACATCTGGTTCCTACATCAGCCCTGGGCTGGCAGGCTGCTCACAGCACTTCGTGTGTCCAGCACTGCTTTGCTTTGGGGGCGTAATGATATGTGTAAAAGCAGGGTTCTTGCTGCTAGGTGGAGGTATGTTTTGGATTTTTAACTGCACGGGCTGAAAAGAGAGTGGTTTGACAATAGTAAATCCTTGGAGCATGTTTAGATGTTCTTTTGTGCATTCACAGTACTTCACTGACTGTGCACCTGTTATTTATAATAGAAATGAACACATAAATGACAGGTTATGAAGCCTTTTCCTTTGGTTTCATTCTTTTCCTTGTGTATCAAGAGATGGCAGTATATTATTCCATCCAAGCTATAAAGACTTACAGCCTTCTCTGCTGTAGCAGGGCAACCAAATTCCTTCAGAGTCTTAGAAAGGATGTTCAGTCTCAGGCAAGTAGTCAGCCTGGCATATTGGTGATCTTTGAGTTGCAGTGGTTTGTCACAACGTACCAGTACTATATTGATCAGTAGGGGAAAGAGATCCTAAATTTTGTCCAAAAGAACAAAAAAGGTTTAAAAACATAAAGGTTCCTGGTACAAAGAAATTAAAAAGATTACTTCTGGTGATGGTGTAGTTCGAGTGATCCTCCATCTACAACATACAGCAGTTTTACATAACTGTTGGCAAACAACAGCAAGAGTAAAGCAGAATAAAAATGTATAGGAAGAAAGCTAGAACTTGGCCCAGAGAAGGGCAGTCAGTTAGAAGGCTAAATCTGTTTCAGCTGCGAGTTCATACTTAAACAAATTTAACATACTCTTTGAAAACTAATTATATTCAGTGTTCAGTCTGGATGCCTTACATATGACAAACCACAATGAGAAACAGACTTCGTTCCAGTGTTCATACACTGAGTGTTAGACCTTGAACCATAGCATTTGTAGACTTCATTGAACTCTAGATCACTGCTAGATTTCTGTAGACCTTGAATTCACATTACAATGCATTAAAATTACTTCAAGCAAGTGCTGCCAGTGGCAACTCATGCATAGTTCATAACCACCATCTTTTTTATATTTTATCACACCCTGGTTTTGCTGCCTTTTTTTTTTTTCCCCCAAGTCATCTTCATGTTAACATGATGCCTATAGGCAGTGTTCTCACTGAGGTCACTGGTGCTTTCGTACTTTTGTATAGTGATTTGATGCCTGTCTTTGTCTTATTTTATGAATTAATATCTTTCAGCATCCCCAGATTCAAAAGGAGTCACAATATATCAAGTACTTATGCTGTGATGATCAAGCAACCCTGCACCAGTGGGTAACAGGAATAAGAATTGCCAAGGTGAGATTAAAATTTAATTTGCTTAAATATGTTTTCTGTAAAATCATCCTGTCTTCCTCATGTTACTGACTGTCATCACCTCAACTGGAAATACTGTGACAAGAATGAACATTTATGATAATTTTACCCTAGAAAGAAAGAGTAGAAGGGCATGACCAGGATGGATTTGCTGAATGTTTCCATAACCTACTTACCAGTGCATGTTTCTGATTAACACAGGGCTGAATTCTGTAGCTGTAAAATTCATGTACTTGTAAAACTTACTCCACAGTTATCTGGCACAATAATAACAGGCTGTGGCTGAAGGTGTGCAAACTCTGGTCAGTCCAGCTGTGACATTTTTCAGACAGTTCTGTCCATATTGTCTGCCTCACCCTCTTCAAAAGGTCCTAACTCACAGCTCGCTTTGTTTTGCAGATAACATTAAGGGAGATGGGTTTATACATAGCCCAGTATACTGGCTGTGTCTGGCTATACAATCTTGTTCCTGTTAGATGTATATTCTTCTCTGCCAGTTCTTCTGCAGGGTGGCATCCAACAAAGGTGTGGGGTGGACATCAAATTATTTTGTATCTTACACTGACAGAGCTTTTTGCTCTAGAGCCCAGGATTCAGTGTCCCAAGACTCCAGTCTGAAAATGTAATACTTGGAAAGCACTGGAAAAAAATATTTATTGAGAACAGTTGGTTTTAAAGACAAGTTTCAAGATTTTTAGATACTGAAATGAACATAAAATACGAGGAAGATATCAGTAGGGGTCTAGTCATGGGGGTTCATGTTTTATTGTGCTATTAGGGAGATGCTTTCCACCTGGCCCATATACAGAAATAGGCACATCCCTTGCAGAAAGCTACTTTTGAACAAAACTGGGTAGGAAGGAATGGGGTCAGAAAAGTTACCCAATAGCAAAATGAATGCTTGGCCTCTGTCAAGCTTAACACCATGCTTACTGTATTGTTTTGATTATTTTCAGTATGGCAAGCTGCTGTATGATAATTACAAACGTGCAGTGAAGAAGGCTGCCTTGTCCTCTCGATGGGCAAATCGGGGAACAGTGGAATCAGCTGCCCCTGCAGGATCCTTACCAGCAGGTACCAGTGATGTCCCAGCAGTTGAAATCACACTTACTGCCCTCTTCTGTCATCATCAGTGTTCAACATAGTTTTTGTTCAGAAAACTATCCCCTCATACAGCAAGATGTTTTGTTTTAGACAGCCCAGTGTAGCTCTGTAGTTATTTGTCTATAACTAAGCTAGCAGCAGAGCTGTCACTTTAAAGTTAGCACTCAAAGAATCCAAAGACAGTCCATCGAAGGTCAGTTTAAATCTGCATAATTCAATAAGGTTTTTTTCTGTTGACATCTGAATACAAATGCATTATCCTCCCTCTGCATTTTACCAACTGATGGTCCATGGCTTGAAGTTTTCTGTTGGCCCATCTCTACCCTGGCTATATCAGAGCTTTTCTTCCAATGAGTGAAAGAGATGAGTGGGATCTCATTCTGAGAATGATCATTTCAGAAAGAGATTATTATAGGGTGAGCCACTCTCTTTCCCAGCCTTTCACTCATTTGTGTGATAACAATGCGGGTGTTGGGAAAGAATGCAGAGTAAGAAATAATTGGGTTATTTTCTAACCTTACTTTTCCAGTAGCTTAATCATACTGCTGTTACTTACTTTATCATTGGACAGGTAGAACAGTGCATGATACTAGCTGTAACTCACATTAATGTTTTTAGTTTACATGTTTAAGACAGGCTGTATTAATTAGGAGAAACATGCTGGCCAAGTACTTACTGACATAAGACAGGCAAAGTTAAAATCTGTGTTGACAGTTAATATTCGGACTTCTCACATGGGCAACTCAGAATCCTCCAAATACCTTACCAGGGCTTCAGTTTGTCTTTTCTCAGTACATGTGAGAAGAGAGTGATCTTTCTACTACTCCTTGGAGTCAAATCATTATAATAAATGCACATTTGAGATGGGGAGAGAGATTTTGCACAGTAACAGATTGTTCAAAATCAAGGGATTTTCTGATGGTTGGGGGGGTGGGTATTTTAATGAGAGTGGATGGGACAGTCTTGGAGCATTTTGTATTCTGGTATTGACTGCAGAAGAGAAGTGTCTGGCCAGCAGGACTCCATGCTGGTGCTGCAGTCTGTAGTGGATTGGGGCAGGATTGAGGCCTTGTGAGGTATATATACATCTGTATAACTTCAGTTCCTGACTAGAATCCAGGAACACTGCATGTGATCATGAAGCATACTGCTAATCTTAGCTAATGGATCCCAGTAAATGATTAAGTAGCCTGGAAAGATTTTATTTATGTATGTTGTCTCTATGGAAGTATCTCTGATGAATCATTAGTGTTCTAACTGAGGCAAGTCACTGTGATTCTGTCTAACAGTTATCATTACTGCCTTTTATAAAACCTGGGGCCTGACTATAATACTATAACCTGAACTGCCTGACTGTGAGTAGCTGTTGGCTCATGGTTTGGAAATAGAACAAAGCATGTTTTCTTCTGTTCTGTTTTCAAATGGCTGTATAGCTATTTGTATGGGCTGATTTCAGTATAGGCTAAAATCTGCTATAGAAAACTATAGTCCTGTGTGACCTTAGCTGGGAACTGTACTCTATTAACTTCAGTGGCAGCCAAAAGCAATGCTTAGGAAGGCAGGTGGAACTTCTCACATCCCATGTAGCCTGTAGTCCCTGGTCACGCTGCTTTAGCCATGTGTTCCTGTATACCCAAACAGTATAGTCCATGGTTCTGAAGTGTCCCAGGTGCCAGGCATATCTCAGGCAATGTTGTTTGTCTCTCTGCCTCACTGTGTGTGTCTTTGGATACTAAAAAAACCAGTGTATGTTGTGTGCCAGCACAGTATTATGATGTTTGAAGGATGAAATAAGTTGCTTTATTCAGATGTACTTCCTGTAGGATTGTCAGCTACAACCATGGAGGCGTGTGGGCTTTATCATGTGGAGACTTATTAGTTTTAATGTAAGGTATCTTGTTTACTTTCCTTAGGTAATGAACTGAATACGAAAAGTTTCAAAGTAAGCCTGAAGTAGAAACCAGACATTCTTATGGATTTTACTGAATTAAATATAAGAAACCTGTAACGAGTGGTTGCTTGGTGGAAGTTGTAAAGATGTTTTTCTTAGTTTACTATTCCCTGATCTGGTTAATACCATGAAAATGGAACCCTCTCTTCCCTTTGTCTCCTCTCCTTGTCACAGGTGCTGTTCAGTCAAATGGACAGGTTCCCCAAATTGTTTGTCATTCCAGTGCAGAATTTCCAGAGACTCAGAAGAAAGCGAGTACATCAGAGGTACAGGTGAGCAGTTTACAAGCAGTGCAGTAGTTAAATGTCACCTTCAAGTTTGTTTTTCTTCACCCTATCTTTCACACTCGCAGTGTACTGTTGTTGAAAGCATTTGGCTCCTGGGCAAAGTGGCTGGTTCCCTGCTGCCCCTCTTTGGGTTTTACACACTGCAAATGGTGTGGCTGTAGCACAGAAGCAAGGAGCCAGTGATGGGAGGTAAAGGCACAGCCACCCATCATTTTTATTCTTCAGAACAAGCCGTGAGTTCACACTGCAGGAATAGGGGTGTGCCTACTGGAACAGTCTCAAAGAGTCTGTGCTCCCAGGGCCTCAGTGCCATTTCCTGTGTCTACCAGAAAACAGGTCTTGCCTTAGTAACACAAAGGATATAGTACTGTTTTCAACTGGGAACACTTTGCACAGCAGAAGATGAGTGTTTAAGAAAGGAGGAAGTGTGAAGATACAAAACATTACATGTTTTCATTAGGCTTTAAATGAATTCCTTGGTTAAGCTCCAGATTTTGTCTACTTGCACCATCTCTGACTGTCAAAACATCAGCAGGGTACAGCACGAGAACTTTAGAAACATCCTACAGGGAAAAAAAAACCAACCCTGCATATGTTTGCAGTTAATTATTCATTCCCTCCATCATGCATAAAGTGCATGGGACACGTGAAATGGAATTCCTAGGATTTTTCTGTCACCTGCATTGTGTGTCCTGTGCTTCTTGTTTCTGTCTTTAAAGTTCCTCCTTGAAAAAGATTTGTTTCTCTGTTCTGAACCTTACTTCCTCTGGAACAGGTCATGTTCTCAGAACTCAGCCAGTGGTTCCCTCCTCCTGTGTCTCGTTTACTTCCATCTTTGTAGGGAAGGAGACTGAGGAAGAGAAGGCTTACAAGTTATGCTTAGCTAATGCCAGAATAAGTACTGCTGACTGTAGGGTTGCAGAGGACTTTCCTTTAGCAGAAGTAAACACGTTGCTTTCTTCATCTCACAGCTTCTACAAGCCTGGGACCAGGGGAGCAAGCTGAAGTCTTTCAGGGTGCACTGTGCTACAGTTAGAGTACTAAGCTAGCTGGGGCTAACCTGATAAATTAGCATAGCTAGAAATGAGTGTGTTACAGAGCTTTGTTTTCAGGGCAGCAGACTTCTCCACAAGAATACAAGAACAGATAGTATGTATATGTAGTAACTGTAAACAGCTACCAGTTGCTACCTGAAAAAGAAAAAAAAAAGAGCAAATTATATTCAGATATCACCAAATGGGCTTTATTTATGTTCAGAGTTCACAATCTAAAAGAAAAGCCACATAAAATTTAGTCAGAATAAGCATCTCCATAATTAACTGCTACCCTGTATTTTATTTTTCTCAACTCGCGTGATGGATGCTTTGATTAATTTTTCCTTCAAAAAAGTTGTCAGAGGATTTGATTGCCTCGTGACCTTGCAAACATGGCTACAACCTCCTGGCTTCAAGGACCTGTTCGTCACACTATTGATTTGAAAGTGGAGGCAGCGTGTACATGTGCCTTGCCCAGCAGATAGAAGACACCTTCCCTAGGCTTATTAGTGGCTCTTGCCGGGTGACTAGTGAAACATCTTTCCTATGCTGTGCACTGCACAGAGTCATGAGAGATGGGGCTTTCCAAGTGCCTCTTCCCAGTGCTTAGCAGTGCTCTCCTTCTCGCACAGAGGGGGCCCAGGGTGCTTCCCTGCAGGTGAATGCTTCACAGCGTGCCACAGAGTGCTGGGGACAGCAGATCCAGGCTTTACATTTGTATGTAAACTTTACATTCCCAAATCTGTCCATCTTCTTCCCGGTTCACTGCTGCTGGGTCTAGTGAGTTTGGCAGAGATAGGCGACTTCATTGTTTTATCCTTATCCAGAGATCCACCAGTCGGAGCTAGAACAGGAGGTGGAGACACAAGAGCCAAAACTACATCTGCTTTTTATATTCTCAAATCTTGCTCAGTATTTTTGGATGTAAAAACACAGCACAGATTTTTATTTAAGTCTTCATGTTCTCAGGGAATGAACAGCAGGGTGGAACATCAAGAAAGTGTCTTTATATGTCTTACTAACTGCAGTTCTTTGAGATTTTAAAAGCACTCATTGTCTGAGGACAGCACTCACAAAAGCACTATGAATACTGTCAAAGCTCTGTGGGCAGCTCCAGCAAGAAAACAAAATACTACTTGCACTCTTCAGGCAAAATGTACTGTACTTCATTTCGCTGTTTGTCCACCGCACTCTTCTCATGTGTATTCACATCTTTGTTCTCAAGCAGTGGCATTAGTTTACACATGCACTGACTGTGTCTTGTCCTTTTATTCCTTCTGCCTATTAAAGGCTAAGTCAAATAACATCATTGCACCTGGCCTGGCGCAGCCAGTGATGAGGCCACAGAAATTCCAGAGTAAGAGGAACTCGCTGCAGCCTCCTCCTCCACCTGAAAGGCGGTCATCTGCTATTTCTGCTTCACCGATTCTACCCTCCAAAGTCAAACGAGACAGCGGCATTTTCCTAACGGATCCAGATACGTTTCCAGCGCCACCACCTGCGCTGAAGGTTGATTTTCCACCACCACCATCTGATTTCTGTGAACCTCCTCCTGATTTTGTGCCGCCACCACCACCACCACCGGCCTCCAGCAGCAGTAATGGAGACCTGCCATTACCTCCTCCACCTCCACCTGTCTCCACTAAACCACCACCTCCAACAAAGAAACCTGTGCCACTTCCATCAAAAAGGCTGGAAAACACTGGACAAGCTGGAGAGCCACAGTCAGCTGGGCCACCTCCAACTGGGGGTGGAGGCAGGCAAGCAGATTTCATGTCTGACCTAATGAAAGCTCTTGAGAAGAAAAGGGGCAGCAACTCCTGAACTCTGGGAGCAGGTGAACTTCAAGCCATAGCTGTTTTTGTGAGTCAACATGCAAAGTTGTGCTGGATCAGGCTCCTTCAGGACGAATTCTCCTTCAGAGTTCCTTCTGGGGGGGTCTCAGGAAGTAAGATGGGGTGCCCTTTGTGCACCTCTTGGTCCCTATAACCTGCCTTTTCTGCCCCTACCCCTCTGTTACTAGCTACCATTCTGCTATCAGGCTGAGGTAAGAATTGGCTCTAGTCTTTCTTCCCTCCATCAGGACAGCCAGGGATGGTGGAGCAGCAGTCGCAGTGCTGCACCACAACAGTGTTGTGTGAATTTTGAGAAGTACGAAGATCCCTTTTCACAGAATTCCCCTTAAAGGTTCTTTATGAGAAAACCCCCAGCTGTGGGGGTTTGGTGGTTGGGGTTTTTTTAGGGATTTTTTTTTGTTTGTTTTTTTCCAATAAAAAGATGACAATGTTTTTCAAAAATGGTCTGTCTTAAAACATAAAACCTCAGCTAGATCATTCTGAGATGCAAGGCAGGATCAGAGCCATTTCCAGAGGGTCACCCCAAATGCTACCACACTCCTGCTTCCATATACAACTCCAGTCATACCTCTCAGCACTCACAGTTGCTGCCTTAAATCAGATTTCATTTGGTTAATCTTAGAAAAAGAAAAATTTAGTTCAAAATCTTGTGTTTTCTTGGTAAGCAGGGATTTTTTTTCCTGTTGGTTAACATTTGTCTTCAAACTGTACCTAGAAATAGTCTGTCTCTTGAAAGACTTCGTGATTATCTTGTACCTGATCTGAATGTCTCCTCCTACTTTTTTCAATTTGTTCTCTCATTTTAATTCTCCGTTGTTCACTTAGGCAGCACTCATTATTAGTTCTCAAATAAAAATAGCTTCTATTTTATATCTGCACAAAGTGTCATAGTTAATGAACAGACATTTTACTGGCAATTGGTACCACTTCAAATATTTTAAAGAGGTTTTGTCTGTATGTGTTAGAAGTGTGGTTGCTGCAGTTTGGAGAAGGCCCACCCCCTCCCCACCATCCCAATACAGCTACACTGCATTGGCTTCACTCCCCAGTGGGGTCTATGTTTTAGGTGAAGCATTTGACCAATCCAGAAGAAGCAGGGGTCTTTTTTGGCTCTCCAAGGTCATGCAGATGTATCAGGCTGTCTAGGCCTGGCCTTCACCCCCCGACAGACAGCTTGCAGTCTCTGCACTGACTGATGTCAATGAAAATGTTGTTGGTAGAGTCTGAAAGTGTGACACTTAACTGAGGTGCCATTTCACCTATGAGTTGTGGACCATTATCTTCCACATTATCCACAAGGTTATAGCACAAACCACCCTGTTATTCAAGTACAGGCAGCAGTACTGGCTGGCCTGTCCCGCTTTTGTTCAGCTGGTCCCTCCTGTGTTTGCGCTTTTTGGTGGCTGTATGAGTGTAGACCACAAGACAGCAAAGACCAGGGCTTTGCTATGGTAAATCACAAACCACGAACACTGAGTATCAAGGAACCAGCCCCCTGATAAGCTGGAGCAGTGAAAGGCAAAATGTGACCATCTCAGCAGTAGGAGGAACTGGTAGTAACTGCTCAAAGCAGTAAGAGTGAAAGGACAGGCTCCTGGAAGGACCAGTGTAAGGCTCATAAGCTTAGTACACACTTTAGTTCCAAGTGCAGGAGAACAAAAATACTAACTAGCTAAAAGCAGAAGGGTTAAAACTAGGGGTTCATAAAAAAGGCTGTTTTCCAGCGGCTTCCTATATGTAGCTGAGGTAAGCATTATGCAGATTGATCACTGAATGCTAAAGAGCTGCGTGTCATTTTCTGACAAGGTATTAGGAGTGCACATCTTCAGCATACTTGGGTGACAACAGCTGTCTGCTATCCAATTATTTTTAAATCAAATGAGTTTTCTTTTATGAAGTATACACACAGCACCAAACTAGAGCAGGACATGTCCATAGAAAAATGTTGCACAATAAGCTAGTTTCTCTGCATTCATAAAGCACTAAGACTTCCACATGGCTTTCGTAGCATTCACTCTCCTGCCCTATTTCCTCCCTTCTCTTTTGTTACAGCACAATAAACTCAATTTTATAAATTTTAAATCTGCAGTCAATCATAACTCACACACTATCTTACACAAAAGAAAAAGTTGAGCTTTCTTCAAAACAAGAAGAATCAGAACCTACAGAAAACTCCAGAAATCAATTAAAATGCTGTGATGATTAGACCTCTATCAACTATTTTGGGTACGTACATGGTTGCATTGAATTTCTGAAATGTAAGTATTGAAACTCTATTCAGAGAACAGAGCTACCATCTTAATGATACACAATTATCTAGCTTTATTTGGTACAAAAATATGCTGCAAAGTACAAAAAGGTCTTTCTTTTCAAGATTGTAAATCAAAGCATTTGTAAAAAGTAGAAATTAATCTTTCCACCTCTTTCTAACCTATTGCCACATGAAATTGCCCAATTCCCGCAGATACAGGTAGTATATACACTGTAGATTACAGTATTTTAGTGTGAAAAGACCTGAAATTGCAGCATGTTATTTTTAACCTCTCTCCTCCATACCTCATCTGGAAGCAGTCTCAGCAGCTGTTGTTGTCTTTGGGCCCTTACATAACTGACGTGGAAGAAGGACCAACTTCAGGCAACCACTTTTCCATTGGTCCTTAGGGTTAGAAAAGTTAGGGTCATGTGGAAAAGTCAAGATGTGGAGGGTCAGCACCACTACTTCTCAGAACTGTCTTCTGCTACAGGAAGAAGATGAGAGTGCAGGTAAACACCTCTGATTACCAGCCACAGTATCTTTATTCCTCATCTGCTCTTGTATCCACTGCTGTGTTTATGTAATACAAAGGAAGAGGCAGCTCCAGAACCACAGGTGGAAGCCAAGGATTTTAGGCAATATATCATGAAACACAGTATTAGTGGCTACATTGTCATAATAAACCATAATGATTAAATGTCACTGAGCATGATGTGGGCTCATTACTGTTAAAAAACACACTTAAAAGGTAATGTTGAGATAACTTCTACGTGTGGTTTTCATGCACTGTCAGGTATTGAGAGTGGAAAAGTAGAAACTTAAATGGTTCATGTGGCAAAACTATAGGAGATAACTATTACTTATGGGTTATCATTGGCAGTCTCACAAGCATTTTCTTTTTGAGAGAGACACAGGAGACGAGGGAGAATCATAGAATGATTAGGGTTGGGAAGGACCTTAAGGTCATCCAGTTCCAACCCCCTGCCATGGGCAGGGACACCTTCAACTAGACCAGGTTGCCCAAGGCTCTGTCCAACCTGGCCTTGAACACTGCAGGGATGGAGCATTCACAACTTCCTTGGGCAACCCATTCCAGTGCCTCACCACCCTCACTGTAAAGAACTCCTTCCATATATCTAACCTGAACTTCCCCTGTTTAAGCCCATTGCCCTTTGTCCTATTGCTACAGATTCAGTATTGTTAAGGCTTATGAATTCTCACGGTCCTGCAGAAATATTCTAAGGCAGTTTTATCACCATTAATGGTCAGTACTGACTATTACAAAATCAGAATAGTACTAAAAACAGGTAAGGTGAACTGCATGGTAAAACCAGGGTGAAAAAAACAGTGGCAGATCGGCCAGTAAAACAGGGTAAGAAGACATGACTGAGTCCATGAATGAACTCCTGGAGAAGCAGCTGACCTATTCCCTGCAGCCAGAGGAATAGTAAAATCAATTTTCAGGGTTTGCTTCATTGTTTCAGATGCTTTTGAAGAACCTGAGAAAAGCCTCACAATGAGCATAGTGGGAAGTATGTATCACTGCTTGTAAAAAGAGCTCCCATTCCAGATGTTCTAGTTTTATATCGTGATGCTGGAGGCTTTCTTTACATGTAACTAAGGGTGAAGCACAGCTCCACTTGCTCCTGTTACTAATGGGATTTAACATTTACAAAACACTTTGAAGGAAAAAGCAGTATAAAAATGCTTTGTACTTACACAGTTATTCCATGAGGTGAAGATGTACAGGCAGCCATGTTTGGCTCACACACAAAACTAACTTAATGGATGTTTGGTTCAACACAGAGTTCTTTCCTTTCACCTAACTGGAAACCAGGGTCCGAGCTGTAGTGCTGCTGTATTTACCCTGCAGGCACAAATACATTCACCTTCAAATCATCACTTAGCTGCAGTGTTAACTCATTCCACTGCGAGTGGTAATGCTGGCTTTCAAACATTTCATCACAACATGCTGTTTTGCTTGTACATATCTGAGAAGAGACAAACAGCAGTGTTTCAGTAGGTCAAGAATGTGCCCCCCC